AGTTGCTTAAATTGGAAAATTTACTGCGATGATCATTCTTCACTTTCATCTAAAACCGCAGTTCATATTTGAATTATTTCATATAAACTTCACATCATGAATTAATGTGTCAGGTACCTTCCCAAATTCCTCATTCTCATTTTGGCTTCAGCTGGCATCTCTTCTTCTTCGTCACTCTGAAAATGAAACAAACCCACATAAATCTCTGGAATGATATGCCAAATATCTATACCCAAACAAACTTACATTTAAACAGCAAACCCTCACTAATACAACATGTACCTCATCATTAAATGCAGATGCGACAGCCCCTTTTCTTTGCACCAATACTGGTTCTGTCTTCTGCTTCTTTGGATCAGAGCCCTGAAGATCAAAGCAAAGTTCATGAACTGAATTATAAATTATTAACTGACAATGAAGTTGTAATAACTCACTCCAAAACGGGTGCCACGAAAATTAAGACCCTCAAAAACTAAGACCTAAGATCTAAGAACCAATCTTAGTTTTCGTAGTATGAAAACTAAGACCCCATCTTAGTTTTTGTACTAACAAATCTAAGACCATATCGTACAGTAGTTTTTGTAGTAGAAAAATTAAGACACTATCTTTGTTTCCATACTACAAAAACTAAAACCTTATCATCATTTTTGAAAACTAAGACCCCATTATAGTTTTCGAACTTCGGAAACTAAGACCCGCTACGTAAACCGACCTGGATCGTCAAATTATGGGTATGTGACATTTTAATGCTGTGTAAAGATCTGCTGGTGTGAGGACTTGGGTTGTGTGTTGGATCAGAATACTACGGATACTTTTTTCAAATCTTGAAATAATGCTTTCCAGCTTCTTCAAATTAGCTTGAGTGTGACATTTGGCAAGTATTTTTGCAAAGAAATTGCTGTGAATCATGAATGACTCTTGGTCTTGTATAAACGAAAAACACTACAAAAACTAAGATGGGGTCTTGAGTCTTAGGTCTAACATTGAAAGTTTAATTTCATATAAATAAAATTATATTTGCCATCCGTCTTCAACACAGAAACTAAATTTAATATAAAATATTCATTGAAATTAACAAATTCACATCAGTTTTTCATGCGTCTGTCCTGTTATTGATCATGAATTTCATCACAGCATGTCAAAGTAGCTGTGGATTCCCTCCGCTATTGCCTTGTGGATCCACAGACTATTTTGACAATGTAATGACGAAATTCATTGTCAAAAACAGGACAGACACATGAAAAACTGCCATGAATTTGTTTTTTAGAATAACAAACAGGCAAAAAAAAGCAGAAATTATAAATGCAATTATAAATCCCGCAATCAGTGCCATGCGTTTTACACATGAGCCCCTGGCTCAGATACTGAGGGCCACGTGTTCCCAAGCATGACATTAATAAATTGATTGTATTGTATTGCATTACATTTTATGTGTCTATCTGCTTAATGACAAAGAAAATCAGCCAATGAGTGTGCAAGAATTTCTGCAGTTATTGTCAGTAAGAACTCACTTCCTCTTATTTCTTCTGATGGGTCCAGAAATATTTTAAGTCTAAGCTTAGAAATTTGTATTAGGATTTTGCATCTCTTTTATCTTTATCTAATTATTTTCAGGTGTCTTTGAACATTATTTTGAAGTTCAACCAATACAATTTGCATTATTATTATTATTGTATTATTAGTATAGGTAATCATACGGTTTCGAGTTCATTTTAGAATTAATTTGCACGAGTGAGTTTTTCAGAAAGCTGAAATTGCACGAGCCGCTTCGGCGAGTGTAATTTCAGCTTTTTGAAAAACTCACAAGTGCAAATTAACTCCAAATTGAACGAGAAAAAACGTATGATTACTTATTAAAAATATAAACATGAAAAAATTCGCACCGAGGAAGTGCCGGAAGATCTTTCTCGAAGCCATTTTTTCTCATTTGAGAAAACTTTTTTCAAAGTTTCAGCACAAAATTTTCGTCATCATTTTACGTGATATCATTTTCTTAGAAAAGTTCCTATTTTCTTTCAGTCAATAATAATCCAGAATTTCGATGTGTAATTTGCACTGGTGTTACACTTTTTGCACTGATGTTACACTTTTCGCAGTGGTGTTACACTTGAACTGCACTACTCTTAGCCAATCAGAGTCGAGTAATTTTTTCATATGTATTATTATTAAGCTCATTATATGTAATCAATCAATCTTACACCAGCAAAACAAAAATAAAATGCGTGCCTTGCATGCATGTTTGTTTAAGCGTGTGCAGCATTCATTGAGGAGATAACTTACCAGTTTTATACTAACTCCAGTTGTCTTTTTCTGCTGTGATCCGGACAGATTCATCGAGATTTTGGGTTTCTCGGCGAGCTTGTGAGACAGAGATGAGATCTCTGGAAGCTTCCTTTTCTCTCCCGTCGACGGGGTCTTTTGGGTGGTGTTGCCTGTACATTAGACATAGATACTGCACAAGTTCAGTATAACTGAATAATCCATGCATTTTCCAACACTCGGAAAACCAAAGTAGCGACTAAGACCTTCATTTTCACTCTTTTCCTCCAGTTGCTTTGTCGAACAACCCATCAACTTCTGTTCCGCCATCTTGCTTAGTAACCCCGCAATTTCAGGCCAGGCTACTCAGGCATCGGAAGTGATGAAGCTGTGTTTTCACAGCGACGCAAAGACAGTAGATTTGAGCAATGCCGCCTTTTTAAACGATTTCTGTGGTCTTCCGTTAGTCATTTAAAACCCGCAGATGGTCCAATTTGTGTTCCTCACGAGGTACGTAAGTTTTGATTGTGATAAGAGATGAGTAGCTCCGTGGAAGATTGGCTTCGATCGCTCGGCCTCATCCACTACACCCAGCCTTTCCTCGATAATGGCTACGATGAACTTGAAATTTGCAAAGAAATTGGAAAGGAGGACTTGGATGCGATCGGTGTTACGAACTTTAAAGACAGGACAGATATCCTAAATGCTGTGGCTCGCTTAAAACAGAGTGGTACCGCTGTATATTTTGTCCTTGAAGCTGAAGGGGGTCCCAGCGAACCACTGCAAGCTCAACCCGAACGGGACACCTACCCCCCGGTTTCACTGAGAATGATGTTGTTCGACAAGCTGGAAGAAGACAAAATCGATCTAACTTGTGCTCCATATTCTCACCCGGTAAGTCTTTTAGAGCTCTTAATCTGTCCTAGTTTATTTTTGTACGAATCGTCGCATCTTTGCGTAATCTATTTGAAGAATGTTTAAGTCATCGAAAGAAATAGTACTGAAGCGAACGCGAAGCCCGCGATTTATGAAACACCCACGTACTTTAAAGTTTTCACTCGTATTGGCCAACGTTGAACAATTTTTCACGTACTCTGTTTTGTTGGTACAGAGAAAGAAATTAACAAGGTGTTTCTGCATGACTTAAGCTTATGTTTTGTGAAATTTGCGCGAACTTCGATATTTGTTGTAATTTCAAAATTATTGTGATTTGCGTGTCAGGAAATCACAGTTATAATGTATCGACCAATGTTCGCCTTTGGTGAAGAAAAGTGTTTTCATTATTTGAAAAATGCTTTGATTATTATTATTCATTTTTAGTGTACTTTCCGAGCGTTAAATTGCTGTTTGATTGCATATGGAAACAATTGTGGCCAAAAGTTATAATCTCTGTTTACCTTTAGCTGTCGACACCAGCGAGTAATAGTTACTGTGGACAGCCCTGGGTCAATTTAATTACACAAACAATAATTTCCTTTGGTGGTCTATCATACCTAACCCCATGTCACTATGAATGAAACCTAGTTGTTGTGGAATCCTTTTTGTGGAACATTTACCTTGTATTGTTTTGTTTATCATCTGAAGGCTTTAATTATAAACTTTTCCAGACAGTCTGCTTCTTTTACAGAAATTGCATTTTCCTTACAAGTACCAAGAATTTTGGTTATTCTAAATTTTTACCCACAGATCTGGTATTGTCCTCATACTTCTAATATTGGTACTGGTATTGGTTCTGTATCCGTAATACACCTAAACATTAGCTCCCAAATATCAGTTCTGGGCTATTTCAGTCTCAAAGGTACTTTCAAATTATTTTATAAATTCTGCTACTTTTAGAATTGAAAAAGGACTTTTGCTCTAGCTGAGGAAAACTTTAAGCAGCAATCTTTTTCAAACAGACAAAAGTAACAATCAGATTATTTTATACATAACAAACATATACATTTAATACAAGAGGCTTAAGAGGAATTGCATATGTTTCCATATAATAAATTTTAGAACTGTATTAAAATACAATATTTGAGGTAGTAATCCTTCAATATCTGTNAATTGAAATTTTGATCATTTGGCATTCTGATTCTCATGCTATGTCCAAGTCTTGACTGAAGTTTTTTGCATTTTCTTGATCGCCAGACTGCAAAGCGTTTTGGAAAGTTTGTAGAGTGCCAGGAAACATGACAGTTCATTGAATATTCATTGCGAAAGGAAAGTACGTGTTTACACACTGCGCCCACGGTATGGCTATAAGATGAAACTGCTGAAAACATGGCGGTCGCTAAATTTCGATTTCAGTGCGCGGATTACAACGTTTTTGAAAATCATTTAGTGACAATGATACCTTTATTTTTTTCTCAATTATTTTATATTAAGAAAAAAAACTTTGACAAGACTAGAGGTAAGTTTCTTGTCAAAATCAAACGTGAAATTTGTCGACTTAATTCCTTGAGCTGTGGTTCAAAACATTGCCACGACGCTAAAAGTTAGTCGCCACTAGACGACTGGCTTTGAAATTCTGGTCACCAATGCTAAATTTTCAGTCGCATTGGCGACCAGCTGGTCGCAATTTTGGACCCTGTGTATCAGACCATTGAGCCTAAACATTTTTCTAATTTTGTTGTTTTTTAATGTATTGAATATATGTTGACTGAAATCGTGCTTTGTAAATGTTAGATTCCAGCTCCTCGCGCCCCAGAAAGAACAAGGCACTCCTCAAAATACAAGTCTCGTAGCTCAGAGGAAAGAGATGACGAGGAAGGACATGAAGCTGTCTCTGAAGATGAATTTCAACATAAATCTATTTCTTCAGAAGACCAAACTAGTCCAACAAGGATTGTAAGTACCTTCAGTTGCCATTAATCTTATTTGTAGATTGTTTTTGTGTCACAGTCAAACCCTGTCTTATGGACACCTGCTCAATATAAATGAATTAAGTTATTTTTTTTTATTTAAGTTTAAAACTGTGCTGAAAGTCTATATATTTTCAATTAATTCAGACACCTAGCTATGAACCAGACTTATTACGTAAATAAATGGGTTTAAGGAGGCTGGCAACAGTTTCCAGCAGTTTTCTAACAGCTCTACCTTGAAGGATGAATACTACCACTGTTTAAGGTGGCCGAACACAGTTTTCAAGAGCCTCTGCCTAATTCACCATTACTTTAAAGATATTTATGCTTTGGCGCCCTTTTTTTGCAAGAGTCAACGTTAACCACAGAAGGGTTTATTCTCACATTTTGGCTAAGGTGAGTGCTGTTGCCATGGCAATGTGGCTGGTTAAAAACAAGGCTTAAAAAATGGTTTTTGTTTATTTAAAAAAAAATCAGTCGTTAGATTTTTTTCATCATTTGCTCACTATGAATTGACATTAAATCCCTTCTGTCAACACTGTTCTAATAAAATTTTAACACAGGCGACTTTCGTAATTCGCCGTAAATCGTTTTCACTGCATGTTCTGTATTATTAAAAATTCCCTATGTCAAAATTCAGATTTTTT